GATTTCATTGAGATTTTGACACGGCACCACTCCAATAATTATTTGTAACCACGACAGAAGTCAGCCGACTGCTGCTCTCTGCATTTTCAACTAGGTCAGGCTTTTCTTCTTTGAAAAACAGGATTTTCCCATTGAAAACCTGCCTTATTTTGCAGCAGTTGTGATTATTTTTCATTCGCCTCTTCTCCATAAACCACCATTTCCTATGAACCTGCTTCTTTACAACCCAGAAGCTGCAAAATACAGATGTAAAAAAACAAAGCCAGCCTATACCCACCACCCCCTCCAGTTTAATGACTATTTCAGTTCTCCCCCGAGGAGCACACGGGGAAATCCTCCATGCATTGCAGCCCTGATAATATGTGTTTATTTCTTAAAGCTTGAAAAGGAATGAAAATAAAAGCAGCAAAGCCTTTGCCTGCCCTGCCCAGGCACCCTCCTGTGTACCTGGCATTTGCTTTTTCCTCTGAATAAGGAACAGGAAAGATAAGGAAGAAAGAAAACCCAACAGATTCTTTGTCCCAAAGGTGGGTGTGATGGGAGTTAAGTAAATTGAGGGAGAATATGAGAGCAAAGGATGCGACAGGAGAGGCACCATCGTCCTCCCTGGGCTTGGTCCTGGTGGGGAAGGGATTGCTGCAAGGGTGAAGAGTGATCCCCTTCGAGCCTTTAACTCCACTTCAGCATCTTAGAAGCTCTCTGTTTCTCCAAGGCGTGGAAAGGAAGGCTCAGTCTCCAAAGCCCAGCAGGTTCTGGTATTCCAGGGTCATCAGGGCTTTTGCTTACGGCTGTTGAGTGGCTCAGAATATTTGTGTATGAAGCGGTGAGACCGGCAGCACTGGAGGCTGTCAGAGGACTGTGAGTGATGAATCTGGTTTCCCATCTGTCCATCAGAATTTAATGCTAAAGACATTTCCTACGGCTGGAGACGTCTCCTCTCGCTGTGTTTAGGCTGCTGGTGGAATACATCCCCAGGCAGCTAAAAATTGGAGCGAAGGAAGAGTGGGATCACCGCATGATGTTTCCAGGATGACATCTGCATACCAAAGAGGTCGGACAGAAGCGATCTCTGTTGCTCACCCAGGTACGCAGCACTGGAGAGGTTGGGTTTGTTCTCTTTTTCCTTCATCGTGAGCATCACTCCATGAGTGCTGTTAATAAGGTCAATCTGTTTCCTTGGCAATAGCAGCGACCGGGGAATGGAGCATGGGAGCCTTTGCCTCTCCCGCTGCTGAATCGAGGTGTGCAGAGCCACAGGAGAGCCCGAAACGTTTGTGCCTGAAGGCAAAGTCAGCCTGGGTGTGAAATGCAGTGTGGTTCCATTGCCTGGGGCAGCCCTCTCCAGTGTCTCCTGCTGCCTGCCCGGTGTCCCCTTACTCCCTTGGAGCACTTTTTGGCCGTTCCCATGGCAGTTCTGGCTGGGTGTCTGAGCAGCTTTGGGTGGTGGGTGCTTGGGCTGTTTCGGGTAGGCATTTGCAGTCTTCTGCTCTTCTCCAAAGGACTGGTGAGCAGCAAGCAAAGCTTCTGGCCCAAGTATTTTTGAGCTGCTTGCTGTCCCCAGCAGTGCTTTCTGTGGCTTCCTTGCTTTCCTGGCCTGAGAGGAACCATCAAGGCCCTTTTTACCTGCTCACAACCCCCCCAGGAACACAACCCTCATTTTAAATGAGTAATCGCCTCCAGCTCTTTGAGCCAACCCAGCTGGAGCGAGCGGCATCAGCCCCTTCGTGCCCCCTCATTCCTCACCAGCTGTTTCGATTGCCCTCAGTGTGGGCTCTTCCATCTGCGCAGGATGATTTCCAATTACATTTTTGTTGCTGAAGGCATAAATCTTCTCCCACAGATGCATTTCTTTCATGCACAGAGCCGTGTGGTGCTGGTGGAGATAACTGACCAAACCAGGCTTGGATGTTTTATGGACTTCTTCTTTTATGGTAGATGTTTCCTCCCCCCCTTTGACAACAAATGACCTCAATCAACTTTAATATTCGAACAGCGGTGATTTTCAGTACTCAAATTCTTCTTCAAGGGCTGTTTAAAAGCTGCTGACCAGAACAAGCAAAGTAGCACGGGGAACATTGGTTATATATGGTGTGAGCTCCAAGCTTGTTTTGATGCTGATGGGCTGGGAAGGGAACAAATCTCATGCTGCTTTCTTAAAAAAAAACAACCCCACTCTTTACCGAGCCCATAGGACAATCATCATCTTGAAGTGCAATAAATGGCTAATTGACCTCGTCCGGAGGTTCCACTTCAATTGGAGAAGAAACTTCTTCTCAGTGAGGGTGACAGAGCCCTGGCCCAGGCTGCCCAGAGAGGTTGTGGAGTCTCCTTCTCTGCAGACATTCAAAACCCGCCTGGACGCCTTCCTGTGTAACCTCATCTGGGTGTTCCTGCTCCGGCAGGGGGATTGGACTGGATGAGCTTTGGAGGTCCCTTCCAATCCCTAACGGTCTGGGATTCTGGGATTCTGTGAATAGCTAAAGCCCATTTGTTTGTATAACAGAGTAACTGTGCTGGAGTTATGGTGGCTTTTTCTTTTTCCTTTTCCTATGAAAGTCAGTCATAAGGTGCGTGCTTTGGCATGCAGGAATGTATCAATAATGGCCCCTTCCAGTTATTACTGTGTGTACCACAGCATTTCACAGCAGAGGGGAATGGCCGGGATGAGGCGCCCCCGATTCGCAGCAAATCAGCGGCAGCGTTGGGCGCTGGGCCTTGTGCTGAGCTCTCTGTGGTCCAAAGCTGAGCTGGGGGTGCTGGTAGCCCCTTGCAGAAAGGAGCCTGATAAATGCAAAACCTCTCGGGGTTGACTGATGCGTTTTGCAGCAGGTAACAGCTCGGCTGGAAGGGAAATCCTTAGGTACTTAAGGATATGGTTTAGGGGGTAGACAGGAACGGTTGGATGTGATGATCTCAGAGGGCTTTTCCAACCGAGCCATTCTGTGATTCTGTGTGTGTGAAATGTGGCAGAAGCAGCCTCCTGGGTGGTTTGTGTCCGTGAGGGATTTGAGCGTGCAAGGCAGCAATAAGTGATGCAGCGCTCCAAATGCAAAGCGCTTCTGGTTTCTGAATCTGCGTGGCCAGACAGAGGAGTTCAGCCGGATGCTGAGGTGCAGAACAGTGGGCTCCTGTGCAAATACTTGGCAGAAAACAAACACCTTGGTGTATCGCATCTTGCTTTATTCACTCCTCTACTAAAGGTACCTCAGTCAAGTTGTCCTGATGGTGGAAGTGGTCCCCAGGGGCTCAGTATTTCTTTCTCCCGCGTTCGTTTTGCACACTGGTGACATTTAAAGTCGAGCAGGTGCTTTTATGATGTCCACTTTGTGCCCACCCTGCAGCATCCAGCCCATAAACCGGGTTATTTGTTTTCAAGGCTCCCTGCAGAGCCCAGCCCTGTGGTGCCCAGCACTGGTTTTTAATGGGGTGCTCTGGGCTGCCAAAGGAGGAAACATTCAACACTGGGTCTTTATTAAACATTGTCATTTATTTTGATTACCGATAGCTCCTTTATTTCAAACAGTTTATTCACTGCAAAGGTTTGTGGTGGGTTTTTTTTTCATGCCTGTTGGAAAGAGTTAGCAGTTAAAAAAAACCACAACCAAGGGGAAAAAAAAGAGGCTTGGATACATGCAAACCATACTGAAAGTTGCCAAATGTAGTAAAAGGAGTAGCAGAATTTTGTCTAAGGTACCTACTTGCATACGGAGGAGAAACAACAACCGCCAGCATGAAGCCCCTCTGGAAAAGGTGTGCGGCTTCCCAGTGCAGTGATGGTGAATTAATGGAGCCAAAGAGATGACCAAAAATCCTGTGTTTGCCCCCAGGAAAAGCACAGCCGGGAAAACGGTGCTGGGAAGGGCCTGGAACAGGCAGAAAGGGGCTCCCGCTCGGCAAAGGGAGACACGGCTGGGCCTTTGGGGGTGAGGGAGGGGAGGGTTTTTTTTTCCCCCACTTTCCCTTTTTCCATCCAAAAAAATCAAATAGAATAAAATCAAAACCAAATGAACATTTTTAGAAACAAAGCACTTCTGGTCCAGGGGGAGGACACAGCCCAGTGAGCGGGCGCCTTGCCGAGGCTTTGCGTCCCCAGCGGCTGCGCCTGCCCGGCCCTCGGTGGCGGTGACACAGGGATGAACCCCAGGTTATCCTTTCTTTATAAACCTTCAGTGTTGTGGTCTCTTCTGTCAGCAACAGCACTCAACCTAAGACAGCTTTTTGCCCCAGATTTTGCAGATTACTCCCCAAAATGGACCAAACACGCACTCCCAGCATTGCTGGTGCAAGCTCCAGGTACCGCATTAAAACCTCTGGAGTTTTTACAGCAGCATGGCTGGTGGGAAACTGGATTTTACATCTGAATAAATACGGGACAGGCACAAGTGCCAGCCTGATTGTGGTAAGGCTGGAGGGCGAGAGCAGCGTCCGGGATTTAGCTCCACATCAGGAAAGCAAAGCTCTCCCTTTGGGCTGGCCAAGAAGAGAAGCACCCCAGGTTGGTGCATGGTCAGACCCTTGTTGTGTCTCAGCAGAAATGCTGTCAGCAGCAGCACCTGGAGTCAGGACTGGGAAGGATTTAAGGTTGATTTTGGTGGTACCTCTTTGGGGTGGCTGCTGTGTGTCCATCACGTGTAGGGGAGCATCAGGGTCAGGCCAGATCCAGCGCTGGGGACAGGGTCCCCGTCCCTGCAAAGCTTGGGCATCCTTCTTCTCATTTGTGCTCTTCTAAGGTATTACACTACCTCAGGGATGGGTTTTTGAGAAGTTAAAAAGCATAGCACGTCACTAATGCTTAGAAAATACCGGGCCAGCTTTTACAAAATACAAATACTCAATGCCATCACCCTTGTGTGTTCTTTGCAAAGAAAACAGTTGACATTCATGGTACAGGAGGAAGGCAGCATCCCACCACGTGCACTGACCCTCCACGCAGACCTCCAGCACCGAGGTCTCAGTTTTGGGCCATCCTCGTCTAACGCACCCACCCACGGAACCGGCCATCATGTCTGTGGTGTCGCAACACCCTGCTCCGAGCCGGCGAGCTCCCCGGCCTCGCCTGTTCTGTCCGGCTGTTGCGAGCCGGTGTTGTCAGTCTTGCCTGGTCCAGCTCGCAGGTCCTCCTGGCTCTCGACCAGGCCCTCCTGGCTCTCCAAATCGCTTACCTGCCCCTCGCCAAACTCTAGGATGGTGGGCAAGTTGCCTTGCTTTGGGCACCGCCTCTTTAGGCTGACCAGGAAGGGTTGCGGCAAGGAGAAGATGTCCACGTTGTTGCCGAGGTCGATCCAGGTGACGCTGGGGAACTTCTTGGGGTCCTTCAGGGTTTCGGTGAGGTCGCGGAGGATGGCCTTGGTGAGCCGGTTGCCGTTGAGGGAGAGGGTGGTGAGGTGGGGCAGGACGCAGAGCGCGGGCAGCAGCTGCAGCAGCATCTCGTCCGTCAGCTCCGTGAAGCACAGCTCCACCGTGTCGATGTGCTCCGAGCTGCGCTGCAGGTAGGACGTGACGCGGTCCAAGTCCCTCAGCGTCAGCGGGATGCCCGACAAGTCCACGGTGTTGTCCTGGGGCTTCCCCATCAGGACGGCTTTCAAGCTGTTGGGGGCAAGAAAAGGACAAGGACATTAACGTGGGGGACACGACATCTCTGCTTGGTGGGATCGCTTTGAGCTCCCTGGGGGCTCTCGGAGGGGACAAGAACTTGAGTTATTTAGGCAGGTTGTTCACCTGGGGCTGACTGCCTCTTCTGTAGAGGCCAGGAGTGCAGTTGAGGGGGCAGAGAGACTTTTCAAGGCTGTTTTCTGGTAAAAGATGGCCAGAAACAAGGAGACCGTATTCAAAACTATAATTCAGAAAGAGAGCAGAGCTCTTCTCTGCAGTCACTGTAAAACCCTGGAATAAAGAGGCTGCCCTGCTGTTCTTAAGGGTGAGGGAGGCCTTGATGAGCTGGGCAGGAGGTGCTGGTGCTGGTGTAACGCATCTCACGCTGCTGCTGCGGGAGCGCTTTGAGCAGGAGGATACGTGTTTGTCCTCTCGGCTCTACGGGGCCCGACTTCAGCCCAGGACAGCAAATGCACGACAGACACCTCCAGGACTGGGTGATTTGAACTGGTATTTTCAGCGTGTCAGACCTGTTATATCTCCTCAGCACGACGGAGAAATCCTTAGATAGATAAATTAACTCTCCCGATGGCCCTGGAGAGACTTATTAACAGTCTCACCGGTCAATTTATCTTCCACAGCAAATCGGAGAACACAGCTACACTAAGGACCTGCCACCAGCCCTGAGGGTTTTCTGCTAATGAATTATTCCGAGTCAATTAGGAGGCAGAGGAGCCTCCCCCAGGCTAATTGCTAATTGCTCGTGTCAACGGTGAGCTCGCACGTCTCCTCTGCAGCCCCACACCACAGCAGCCACCTTCTGCCTTCTTATTACAGCCTGCCCAGCGCCTGGTGGGTTTGGGAGCTGAAAACACCAACCAGCCCTGCAGTTATGACCACGAACTGATGCAAATCCCCTTTGCCTTAGGCCAGGTCCCCTTTTGTTTGCAGGCTGAAGCTAAGCTGCGTTCAGCGAGAGTTGGGCCCTCACTTTCACAGTATTAGGTCAGTCTTAAAGCTTATTTAACACGAGAAAATAGCTCAGAATTTCTGAGAGTAAGCAGCTCTGGAAGCTCTGGTAGAAATAACTTGCCTAGGTGGGAGATGTGTCGGTCTGATTCGTGTTAGGAAAAAACAATGTTGAGGTCATGAGGAAGGAGTGACCAGTGACCTTCGGGGTTATCTTGTTTGTCTTTACAAGAAAACCAGAGGGGGAGGAAGTGAAGCACAATGTAAAGAGTTGCTTGAGAACTTTTTTTCAGAAATCGATAACACCAGTCCTGCTGTTTTAAAAAAAAAAACCCAAAACCAAGAAGTAATTGAATCTGCGCAAGAACATAAGGACGACCACCGACAGAAGATACTGCACAAGTGCAAACAGGAGGAAAACTAATTATAATACGAAGAGGGGATAGGTTATGCATATGTATAGGCATATTGAGAAATTTAATTAATATGTCTTAGTTAAAGAAATATAAACCCGGTACAAGAATTGTACAGTGTGCGGAGGCGGAGCGCAGACTCCACCCGAACCCAGCGCTGTTTGCTTGCATTTACTCTTTTAATAAATTATAACCTTTAATTACAAAATTCTATTTGAGACTGAATCATTTATCACACTAGGTGAGGCTCAGCCCCTCGAGCACACCTCAATAGCAGGAGAACAAGAGGACTTTTAAAACAAAAAATTTACAACCTATGTTTTTTCCTTATTTAATATAAGAAAAAAAAATGAGTTTGGTCGGTTTTCTTATGGCAAGAGCCATCACACAGCACAAAAAAAACCTGCTATTAAGTGCTCTAGTGCGAAGCTCCTGTGGGTGCATCAATACCACCCCAGTGCTCAACACCCCTGGGCTCCCCTGCGCCTCGGGCCCCGTTTCACGGCTGCGGTGTCGCCGCTCTTGGTGACATTCGGGGTTTGCTGCAACCTCCAGCGCATCCCCCGCAGTGATTTAGCACCTTCTATACTTATCCCTTTACAAGGTTTCATTTCACCTGTACGTGGGCAGGAAGACAGCTGCTAATGCGCCGTGGTTCTCTTTTACTGGTGAGATTTTTTTGGGGGGAAAGAAACCAATGAAATAGTGCATTTATTATTCCAAAGAAGTAAATTTCTGTTCATACACTGACAGCTGCTTCTCTCCCATATGAACCACTGCATCGGTTTTGGGGAGCAGCCCCAGCGAGTGAGGTGTGGTGAGGCTGGGGCCAGGGCGATGCTGCTGTAACAAGCAGTTCTCACCTAAAAAAAACCCCCAACCCCTAAATCACTCTTGTCTTGCAGCCTTTGAGCACTGAAGGTGGTTACAGAGGGCTCTCGCTGTCAAATAAAGCACCTGGAAGCCCTGTGAATATGGAATAACCATTTAATAGCAGGGCTAAAATAAGTGTGCAGGGGTTGAGCCTTGCAGCCAGCACCGATACCCCCTGCACGGAGCGATGCTGCTCATAACTTCTTGTGAGACTTTAATTTAGCAAAAAAAAACCCAAGAAAATAACGAAGGAGAACGGGGATAACTTCAGGGCAGCTTTTTTGTTCGTTTTAGGCTGCATTCAATATTATTTGTTTGGTGGTGTGTTGGTTTTTTTTAGTTCCTTGGAGCACGCGTGCAATTTCTGCCAGCAAGTGAAAGAGAATTTCTCACCGGGGCTCTGTCCTGTTCCCCACTGAAATGGGTTGGTTATCTCCTACAAAGAGCCTTTTCACCCTGAGGCTGTGCCGGGGCACAGGAGCAATCCCAGCTCACCAGGTCGGAGCCGCCCTGCGCTGATGCCGGGGATGCTTTGCTGTTGTCCCTTGGGAAACCAGCAAACAGATCCCAAACACGGCTCAAGCAAAGCAGTTTCCGTGGCTGTTCTGAACCATCTCACGGCAATGAGGAGGATGTTATGTTAACAGACAGCTGTAAAAACGGGTATCCTTGCCATACTGTTTGCCACAGAGCAGCCCCAAATGGCTGCAGGAAGATCTCCCCATTAAATCCCAACGAGCTTTGGTGGGGGGATCAGTTACACCCACTTGTGGTCATCCTCACATTCGACGAGGTTGCGCTGCGGAGGAAGACACAGATTTCTTCACAGCTTTTGACCATTTCTTTTGACCAACGTAATGAGAGGACCAGGTGCACAATGCCGATTTACACATGTGCATGCTGAGCCAGAAGCTGTTTTATGTGGCGGATTGAATTAGATCAGAAAAACGTTCCCAAGAACATTGAAGTTTAGAGCAAAGGGAATGAAAAGAACGGGATTTTTGGGTTAAATCCACGTTTCTCTAAAGCACTGAGCAGTCAGGCCATGAGATGCCCGGGTGTCATGACATAAAATGTAATTGGGCTGTTGAGGCAGAGGCTCGAGAAAAATGAAGAGGCAGCCCCGCAGAGTGAAGAATTACAGTAAGAAATTCCTATGGTATCACTGGTGAGAAAACTATTGAGCAAAATGTCAGCCAAAAACCATGCTGAACATAAAGAGTCACCAGAAAAAAAGCAGTCCTGAGCTAGAGGGCTTGTCCTGAAATGCTCATGGTGTCAAAGATCAGCATCAAACAGCTCCGTCAGAGTCCCTGCTCCTGCGTCAAATGATGACAGCCACTGGAATGGATATTTTGGAGATGGCAGGGAGGAACACAACCAAATGCAGCACTAATGCAGACAAAAGGGTTAAGCTCCCCCAGCCCCAGTGAGGAACAGAGCCAAGAAAAGAGCAGTCTTCAGCTTAAATGAGGAACGTGAGGTGTGTATACACTAAAAATAAATATGTGCAATATATTGATACAGTATATAATTTCCAATCAAATGATTCGGTGATATATAGTATAGATCATGTGTATATATAATAATAATGATGAATAAAACAGAGCTGTGGATAGCCTGCTCTTTCTTTGTCTCGGTGCCTGAGCTGAGGGACACCCCTGCTGCTCAAAGCCTGGATCCCAGCGGATGAAAGGGCAGGAGCAGAGCCCACGTGAATCCCCCCAGCTCCAGCCATGGGACATCACTGAGAGCAAGGGCTCTGTGGGAGGTCCAGAGCGGACACAGGCCCTGCTGCAGCTGATAACATCCAAAGTCACGTCAGGAGCTAAACAAATGCTTCTACTCACAGCAGCGGCAAGGAAAGGGCCGAGTTTCCCAAGTTAAGTTATAAAGAAATCCTTTTAACAGGGTTGTGATGCTGTCTGGTTGAATGCAGAGCATCTCCCTTCTGAGGAGCGGCTGAGGGAGCTGGGGCTCTTTAGTTTGCAGAAGAGGAGACTGAGGGGAGACCTCATTCATGTTTAGAAATATTTAAAGGGTGAGTGTCACGAGGATGGAGCCAGGCTCTTCTCGGTGACAAACAATGATAGGACAAGGGGTAACGGACACAAACTGGAACACAGGAGGTTCCACTGAAATTGGAGAAGAAACTTCTTCTCAGTGAGGGTGACAGAGCCCTGGCCCAGGCTGCCCAGAGAGGTTGTGGAGTCTCCTTCTCTGGAGACATTCAAAACCCACCTGGACGCCTTCCTGTGTAACCTCATCTGGGTGTTCCTGCTCCGGCAGGGGGATTGGACTGGATGAGCTTTGGAGGTCCCTTCCAATCCCTGACGGTCTGGGATTCTGTGATACTTCCCCCCCCCCACTCCCTTTTTTTCCTCTCTGTAGTTCAAAAAAAGCCCCACACTCCTCAAAACATGGAAAATGAAATCCAAAAATAACGTAGCCAGGGCCCAGCTCAGACCTGGAGCTGCCGAGTTCTCCAAAATATGAGGCCATTGGACCTCCACAGCTGATGCTCACCTTCCCTCTTCATTTTTCTCCCCTCAACACCTCGCCATGAGTGTGTTGTTGTGATTATTCCTTGGTTATTTAGCTCCTTGCTTACAGCCACAAAAAGGTTTAGAGGTTTATTAACAGCGTGGTTTAAAGTGTTTTTCACTGCCTTTACATGTGAATAGCTTGGAAAGATCTCACTCCTCTCCTTAGAGACATTCAGGGTAAAGAGGATTTTTA